AGTGGGAATTTTCCCATTTCACCTCTGCTTGCTATGTTAGTTGCTTTGCGATTTACACCAAGGTAAATTTTACAAAATTTCGAGTGTCTTTTTTCAGTTGGGGATCTCTTTGAATATCAAATATTTTGACTGCTAGATTTGGGGGTAGCTTGCAAATATCAAGTTTTTTCCTTGTGGAGTTCATAGCACGATGAGCTTTGTCAACAAGTTGTTTAAGTGCTAAAGTAAACTTTCCGTTATGTGAGAGGCTAAGTCCTAGGTAGTTGTATTCTTGAGTCACTTGGAGAACTTTGTTCTCAATTTGAAAATTTGGTGTGGGTTGTTTATTTGATGGTTTTTGGAAGATCATGACTTTGGTTTTTTTCATGTTGACATGCATCATCCACTTTTTACACCAGTCATTTAATTGATTTAAACAGTTTTGAAGACCAACCTTAGATCTTGATAAGATGACAAGATCGTCGGCATATAGTAGACAGTTTAGTTTTGTTTCATTGGGTAAAATTACCGGATCCCAAGGTATGTTGCTAAATACGGGGGGTAGGTCATTTAGAAATATATTGAACAGCAAGGGGCTCAATGTACATCCTTGACGTACCCCCTTGTTATATGGAAAAAGCGATGTCCTGTGATTTGATTGTTTAACAGCACATTTTGAATTAGAATATAGGTTTTTCATTAATTTGTAGAAATTTCCATTGATTTTATTCTTAAGTAATTTTAAGTATAATCCGTCATGCCAAACCAAGTCGAAAGCTTTTTTGAAATCGACAAAACATGTATATAGTCGTCCATTCGTTTTCTGGTTAACATATTTATCAGTTAAAGTTTTTAAAGTAAGGATGTGATCAGCCGTTCTGTGGCCGGGTAGAAATCCTATTTGTGATGGGTGTATCGAGTATCGTATGGGTGTATCGTATATTTGTGAATTTCAGCAGTCTCTCATTAAGAATGAGACAGAAAACACACATATTCCTCGACACTCATATTCCTCAATAATTATTACAATCGGACCTGTCATCAGATTTAAAGATAGGTGTAATCAATCTCAGAGGTCAAAGGCGCTTGCTGTGACGATTGCGCCACCGGTGGTGTTGGTATTATAATTAGTGAAGGTGAAGATATGGATGGTGATAAAAGTGATATTGTGGTGAGGGTGGTATGTGATGGTCATTTCTAGCCACATCTTACATGCAATGTTACAACTTTAAGACCACTAGAACGTTTGCCTTTGTTTTTGTTTCAGTTGTCATACGTAAAAAACGCTCCCAAAGCCCAAAAATTGCGTCAAATAACAAAATGGGCGGACATCAATAATGTAGCAGATGACAATAATCCCAATCATGCTGATCAAACAGTACTGTTTACTACGTAAGCATATTTATTTTAAAAATTATTTAAATTTGGGCACTTGTACTTTTTTACCCAGGAGTATTGGATGTGTAGGATTAAAGTATTATCATGTCATTGAAGACAGAGATTGAAGACAGTAATTAAATGGGTTGCAACATAGGTAGCAGAAAGCAAAGATGAATTTATAAATACAAGTACATTAGCGTTCACTTGTGATGCCCCTTCTTGGTTACAAACTAGTAATTTGTTAAAACGAAAATTCACTTTTAATTAGATACTCTGATCATTAGCAATATGTTACTTCGACCCCAATACACTACACACTAGACAAGAATGCTATGATATTTATACTTATAGTCTTTTTTACCCTATTTTTTCTTTTTCTTTTAGACACAACAACGGAGGTAAGTTCAGACCTAGGGCAGTATTTTATTTCCGTTTTGACGTTCTTTGAGCGTTCGTGGCCGGATGAATGGTTCTACTTTATTTTTCTCGCTAGGTATGGCAACTCTAGGCGTGGTATGTCGAAGATATGATGCCAGTGCAATGGTCTCACTAAGTGGTCTGTCTTCATCTTTTGTTACCGCTCATGAAACTGCTCACAGGTAGAGTGAGATTTGCATTAATGATACAGACACGTCCAATTAAGAAGCACTTCTAGCAGCTCTTATCAAATCATTCATACTCATTCATGCAGCGCAGAAAATTGAAAAAAAATCAATGTTTAATCAATGTTTGTAAATCTTGTACAAAAGTTGACATCGAGGGCTAAAGCGAACTTTGGAGTGGGAAATTCTTTCACATTTTGTTTGAGGGTTATGGAGTATTTTGTCTAAGGTAAACCCTTCAACGAGTATTTTGTTTACTGCTAAATGGAATGAGGAATAGTTTTCCATCTGGAATACGGATTTTTTTTTAAAAACAACGCAAATGTTTACTCTAGGAATGTGGATATTTTAAGCTCCAGAATTCCCTCTCATCTTCCGATGATCACCTGTCCTTCTTATCTATTACTTAATCATCACTTTATGCATAAATTTTTCGGCTTACTTTCGCATAATAGACCTCACTTTGCAGAGTCTTTTTAACTATATAACCTAAGCCCCCCAGCCCCCATGGTGGCATGGTGCCCCTCCCCCCCCGCAAGTCAAACAATTTTGCCTCCCCTCAGTTAACGTCCCTTAGCTTTTCTGTAAAATATAAACATTGGAAGAAAAATGGAATATAGAAGGGAGGTTTGAGTAACTGAACCTTGCTTTGTGAATCTGATGTCTTTTTCTTCAAATGATTCAATGTTTTTTTTTTAATTCTAAACATTGTGTTGTGAATACATACCGTAATTTAAAAAATTCTCAGTGGATAGCATATCGCAGAGCCAACAGATTTCAGTTGTTGAAGGCTAGGCAAAACAAGTTAGTGACCGAGTTGTGGTATTTACCTAAACATACCATGCAAGTAGTTAACTGTTAACCATCTAGAGTATAATGTAACTGTTGTATATCCAAAAATCTGTTTCAGGAAACGCAGAAAATGCAGTCCTAGGGGTGAAAAAATACGAACTCGCCCCCCCCCCCCGACCACCCTACGATACGACACCACACCAAACATTTCGTCATCAACAACCATCTGTCACTTTCACACTCAGTATAGCATGGTCCCTTTCTGTAGATGACCCCCCCCCTCCCCCACTGACAAATTCTTAAAAAAGGCCCTGGATTTTAGCTTCGTCTACAAAAGCATTGCATGTATTGTTAATATCTTTTATAATTCTTTGTCTTTATGCATTTTGTTATGTATATTCAAATATAATAATGTACATATAAAGTCATCAAAGAGAGATGGAAAATGTAAACATCATGTGACAGTCATGTAAATCATCATCTGATGTCTGCATAGAAACGTTAACTAGTATTTGACTTGCTGGATTAACCAAGTTTAATACTTCCATCAGTTGTATACAATTTCTAAAAAGCAAGCTTGATAATAATAGTGAATTAATTCATTAATTACAGTCTTGACAAATGTAACACTTTAGGTATATACATACACAATGTAGCATTTTTTACACAAAATATAGTCTTGGTTACGGTCATGATGGTCAGAAATATAGCGCAAACTGTCCTAATGGTGCTGGTGTGATGTCAACATACTTACCCGCTGGTCAGGCAGCTTTTGTTTGGTCAAAGTGTTCAAGAAAATACGCTACAGAATTTTTAAAGTAAGTTGACGGATGGTTGATTCATGGATGACGGGAGATATCCTAGTATAAGAAGAATAAGAACACTGGCATTCGTATAAAGTGGCTTGGTCATACACATTAAGATTTTCAATATTTCACTCACACAATTAAACACACGATTCGGCCTTTCCCACTAAAATCAGGTTTAAAAACTATGTCGATTAATGTTTTATCGAAAACCCACATATTGATTTTCATGGAATGGCCAAAAAAGGAACTTTTCGAAATCGTTACTTTATTATTACGCGAAAAACGTTGAACCGCGGCTATTTTCTGCATCGGATTCCGGACAAAAGTGTGGTTATAGATATTCATACCATTATATTTCCATGGAAATGCTTACCCAACACTTTTGGAATGGTTATTGATAACTAACTAAAATATGCCATCGGTCAAGCTGAAAAATTGCTGTGACTGCGATGGAAAACGTTGCAATCTTTGGGTCGATACTTCAAGTTCGATTCTCACCGCCATCAAGCAAATTTCAGCTTGCTGGGTGTGGCATCACTCGGAGCAGCGTCATCTAAAATACTGTACTTAAAACCATGATTTTTATGTATCATTTCTATGCTTAAAATCCACAAACTATAATATATCTATAGATCCAAACGATCCCGTTGTCTTGACAACATGCCTACAGTCCGAGGACCAACACAATCACCATTACTTCGTGCTAAACTGCCTGGTGAAGTTTTTAACGCTGATAAACAATGTGAAATGATATTTGGTGCTGGAAGGACACAGTGTACTACTAAAAAGGTATGTTCCTGCAAATACTGATTCTATTCCGAAAATCAGAACTCAAGTTGCACACCTAACAATACGGTTACCTACCAGTCACAATTTATTTGCGGATTGATTGGGATTTTCTGTTGGATGGACTGCACAGAAACCACAGTGCATGGTGCTGTGATTGTATTTCCATGACAGCGGTTATTGCAGAGCAATAGCAATTGATCTGAAACTGATCCAGTGGGAATTTGAGGTTGTTTTGAAAAGACTTCTGATCCTCGTTATTTATGGTCTAAATGCAATCGATTATCAGGCTGAGTATTAAACGTGGGATTCTGTGCATGAACTAAGATGAAAAATACTTCGATCTTTTGCGTGAAAGCCTTTCATCAGGAGATGAGAGAAATCACTATAACCTCCTGACGAAGAAAGTTAACCCTTCGCAAATCAAAACACTGCTTTAATAAAATGTTCTATAGACAGATTTTTGTGTACTTTTCAACCATACAACGTATTTGTTCTGTGAGCTACCTTGGAATTTTAAAATTTTTATCAGAAATTCAAAATTTTTAGCTATCAGCATTAATTTCACAGATGCCTCAATATCTGATATTCATACTTGTGTCTCTCTATGGTGCTTTCTTCACTAACTGCACAATTATTGAAAAATTGTGCGCTTATTGGCTCCACTAAATCAAAACATGTTTTGTTCACACATGTTTTGTTATGTACAACTTTCCATGCCTAGAACGTTTGTTCATCTTTGTACTGTACGAGAAGCAAGTCAACATGTTCCTATGTTTTATCTCCGCCTGCGGATGGAACAAGATGCGGTGTAAGAAATGTAAGTAAGAATACTATATTTATCGACGAATTATAGGTTACTGTATAAATGTAATCTAGCTTGGACTTGTCTAGACCTTACGGATTGATTACAGTTATTTACAATGAGAAAACTGGGACTGCTGTTCACGTTATCTTTGAGACACCTGTAAATACATGCAGAGTGTATACAAAAAAGGAATCCAAATTTAGCAAGTCCGCATGTTATAATTTTATTTGCTCGTCTAACCCAATTAATAGCAAACCCGGGAGAATTCATGGAATTTATAATTTAAAGAAAGTTGTTTGTGGGACATGCTTTTAGGCAAGTGGGAATTAAATTCAATTGATTAGCATATAACTGTGCTATGACATGTATGCATACAATCTCATTATAATAAACACGCCCAATGTGCTTTTCGCACACAAAAGTCGAAGTCTTGCGGTGTTCACAGGACAACCTTAATCCAATTTTCTGTATTTACAATTACAGCACGTAATTGTTATGAACCTGAAAAGATCACATGCATGAATATCTTCATGCAAATCGAACCAATAATGGTCAGAGTAAAAACCTGACGACTGCGCAGTCCTGCGACATACCATGCATGTATATCATAAGGAATAATTTTCTATTTTAATAAAGTGGTGCATCCATGGTGAATGTGTTGATGATGGTTCTCCTGTGATCGATGGTAACTGGGGTGAATGGTCAGACTATACACCATGTACCAGATCCTGTGGTGGTGGTGTTCGACACAGAATTAGAAAATGTAACAATCCAAGGTAATATTGGAGCTCTCTGTACAGAATACAAAAGAAAAACAATTGGGCAAAGAAAATTTCACTAACCAGTCAAGAATTTGTTTACTAAATAATTATAAGTTTACGCAGTCCAGTAAAGATTGACAGTGTTTTGCGCACTATTGGCAAAACAGCAGTTGATAAAGAAATTATTGTATTCAATTTAGCCCTAGCAATGGTGGCATGAAATGTGCTGGATCAAGCGTAGGACAGCATAGAATTTGCAACGTCAAGGTAACTATGTGTTTCATCATGCACTGATTATTGTTATTTGCTTAACAAAATTAATATCTCTTTCAGAAGATTAAGTTCAGTGTTGTTAGAATTATTTTTCAATCGTTAAATCAAAATTTTACCCTGTCTATGACATCATCGATACAGACATAGGCCTACTGTCAGTTTCAATAATCAAGAAAACTGAAATATCTTGACCTCAAAGACGAAGACAAATATTGTGGTAGAAAGTGTAAAGCTTGCATTACTGTTTTAATAGTTCGGTTTAAATAGATCAACTTAAATTTAATTGCAGATGTCCTCTATAAAGGATGATGATAATAAAATTTCATGTTTAAAACTGTTAACTGTAAACCCAATTCATGCATCAATGATCGGAGAAACCATGCTCATGAAATTTATGCTTTTTATCTTTATCTGTGTAGGCTTGTCCTCGAGGAACTGCATCATATAGAAGATTTCAATGTATGGCGGTTGGATACTCATGGTCGTATTATATATCAAAACAAGGTACGTGAGTTTCAAATTAAACAGCTTAAACTCCTGAACGGAGGTTGCGATGTAGAAATAAAGTCGTAACCTTACAGTCGGTTATATGAGTTCCTGTTGGCTTGAAAAATATAAAATTGGGATTCCAATGTTTCGAACAAAAGTTTAAAGTGCCGTTTGTATACGTATATAGCTATGTAAATCCAATCCTTTAGCTCGACCCTTAAACGTTTAATCTTATAAACGTTTACCCTAAACGTTATGATCAACCTTATACAGAAAGTAATCTTGACCGTATTTATGCATAAAACACAATCACTTCGGACTGATCTTGGCCCAAGGCGATTTGTACTCGGTTACAATTATGGAACACTGCACAGACAATTTGAAGGAGTCGGAATGGTACAGTTTAATCAAATGTGTATATGTCTAGTGGTTGTGGTGTTGAACTCAGGTGTTTTAAATTTTTTGCTGATATGTTCATGTTTATATACTTAGCTATGTGATTATATAAACATGTATGATCATGTACTCACATGCAGCACCATTACCCCATGCAAATGTGCAGTTAATTATTTTTCCAATAAAATCCCTATAGCTAATATATACACTTCTTGAGTTCTGACAGTTCAATATCCCTGTCAATAATATTACTGTTTCTTTCAGCTTGTTCATTGTGGTGTATACGAAACTGGAAAATCTTCTATCACGGAAATGTAAAAGATGGAACACCTTGTACAATTGATCCATCTAATCATGATGTTTGTGTTGGTGGAATATGCCAGGTGCAGTGATGTATTTATGTCTTTGTCTCACGTTTATTTGCACCAGTGAAACTTGGTAAAAAAAGGTTGTTAAAATTAACGAAAGTTGACCAATTGTTATCAAAATCGCGTATTTAACTGTCGTCACAACACTGTCGCAAATTAATTTCGTACCCAGGGATCGCACAAGCAGCTGGCGACATTTTTAAAAAGACAAACACGGTTCCCCCAAAGGGGACATTTGTCCGCCCCCCCCCCCCTGATTGTCGCAAAACTGTTGCCACGCTGTCGTTTTTCTGTTTCATTAAAACATAACCGTCACGACACGTTTTAAGCCTGTCGCAACTGTCGTCGAGATAGAACTCGAGTCTATCTCGACAACACTGTTGTAACTGTCGTGAACTGTCGCCAACGTGTCGCGACAAGGCGCCTTTCCTTCATGTTTCCATTTGGTCGCGAACAATACTCTGACGACACTTACAACACGTTCGTTTTATATAACTGACTAACCTGAATGTCAGGCCTGTATTTTCTGAGAGGTGTGCTTGCGCTCCTCTCTCCTGCCTGATCTTCTCTTTTAGCGTTAGGCAGGATAAATATAGACCTAAATACATGATAAATACAGAATAAATATAGGTCATGAGTTGTTAGCCAGAATCCCGAATTTGGGTGTCAAGGCAAAATTTCGGTTATTGGACAAACGACTTGGTATTTCAAAACTGAACTGTTGACCAAAACAAGATTCTTAGAAAACGGTAGACAATAATATGGAATTTTGAAATATGGTAGACTATTATATGGAAAGATGAATGAATTAATGCATATAAAGCTACAACTTTAATTTTGCCAATTACAGACAGTGAACAATGCATGGATGTCCAAAAGCTGCTCAAAGTTGTCTTTTTTAAGTGGCCGTCCAAATTCCAATCAACATTGCCTTGACGAATAAGGCTGGATGCCTGAAAGGCTAAGAATAAGACTGTGTTTCAAGGACGGGGTCGGTTACTAAAAGGGAAAATCGAGCAGGCGAGAGGCGCGCTCGGCGATAAGGCGAAAAATAAATTTTTCGCCTTCTTGCAAGCACACCTCTCGGAAAATATAGACTTGACATTTAGGTTAGTCAGTTGTATAAATCTCTTTACTACTTTTTAACTACTGTTTTGTAATTAAATAGCAGTCAACACTAAAATACGCGATTTTGATATTGATATGGCCAACTTTCGCACTAATTGTAGTTAACTTTAACTACCTTTCTTAATATCAACCTTTCAATCACTTGAACATTGATTACATAATCTTGTTCATATTCTCTATATTATTGACATATTGGTTTATTTTATTTCAGTCTGTTGGTTGTGACACGATCTTTCATTCTGATAGAGAGAACGATCGTTGTGGTGTTTGTGATGGTAGTGGTAGTACTTGTACAAAGCGTAAAATTTATTATAAGAAAAATTTTTGGAAATTTGGTACGTGTATTTAGCACACCAATTTATATTTGCTACATGAGTATTTCCAAAAATAATTATCTCAATAGAAAAATATAGCTACTTAACTTTGTAGAAAGCTCATCTTGAATTTCTGCATCATGTTGTGAAGTTATCCGAAAAAATCAGAATTTATTTTGGACATATATATATAATGTCATCAACGTAAAAAAATTGCCAACTTCTGGACAAAAGATCAATAAAAGAACGCGGTCTAACAAATCTCGCATTTTGATTAATATCATGAGTACATTTATTATATTAATACTGATTTTTTAATTGGTCTGTGACTGAAAATGCGAAAGCTCGCGGCAGCCCAGGTGCAGACGATTATACAAGCTAACAAGGACAAACGTCGTGTGATTACGTCATTAATATAGTTTTTCAGTAGTCTGCATGGGTGTTACTGTCATTGTTCCTACTATGCAAAGGAATGCTTCGAAATGGGATACAAAACCACGCTTCGAAAATTAGTACACTGGAACGCATTTTGGTTGAACTAGAACGCAAATGCAACGCAAGTTAGAATGTGCTCGGAACGCAAATGGTATAGCAATGTCCAAAGAAGAATGTGTTCCGCATGTGGGTTTCGTGGTGTGTTTTTACTGTATTACTATAAAGGGTTTTGTCGTACACTTCACACCAGGATTAACACGAGAACTATTTTTTAAAGGAACGTCTCGTCCTTTCTCGATGGTTGTACTTAAGAAGGGTTCGTCAAATATTTTTGTAAAAAAGACTGGAGCAACTTGGAACTGGATCGGTAAGTGTTATTTATGAGATCTTTGTGATAACATGAGAAACTTTTCATTGAACACCTATGCCTACTCTTTCATGGTAACTCGTCACCACTCGACGTGAGATAATGCAAGTTAACTATAGGCAATTCAAAGCGAGTAAAGACGATCTAAGAGAAACTCAGCCAATTCAGTTCCGCGAAACTCAGCCAATTAAGGCGATGTAAGGCAAGTTTAGATCACTGAGCAGGCCTGCAATTTTGAAATAAATGTGTTCATTTAAGAAGTCCAATTTGAGCGGGCCAGAATTGAAGAAGGAGGATATGCCATAACTGTAGATTTACGACTTCTGAGGGGAATTCGAATTTTCTAAAAAAGTGGTATCAACCTTTATGCCCACATTTCTAGAAAATTTGGAAACTAGGAATGGAATAAGATAATTTTTGGTTTGTAATTTAATTGGTTTTGTTTTTCAGGTGTACGAAACATGGACGGTAAATATTTGATTTCTCTTCCAACATATTCAAAGACAGTTTATAAAGCTGGAACGAAGATTTCTTACATTCACAAATCAAGCAAGTTCAAAGATGAGATCATTATACCAGGACCAATACAGGAAAATCTTGAACTTGTGGTAGGTTATAACATCATTCGTTGATAGAATAAGCAGAATACATAGCTTGGAGACTTGATAAAATCCATTATCTAACGGGTGGGGACTAAAATGGTGGACAAATTTCAGCACACTGTACAGCTTTTAGTACAAGGCAAACATTGCCTGTAAATTTTAAGAAAAAGCTTGTCTTCTCGACTATCATACGATACATTTGTTGTTAACAGGCTGGAACCAGCACTTTTGGCAATTCTGGAACCAGCACTTTTGGCCTACAATGAATTAACCCAAATAATCTTTGAAATAACGGCCAAAATGTGCAATATAAACAAAACAATTACGTGATTTGTGCACTCTCTCGTATAATGAAAATGACTTTTTTGAAGATTATTATCAGTGGCCTAGAGAAGTCCAATGGACCTGCTACATCAGCTACAATGGTATTTGATATATTTGTATGACTGTCATTGACAGGGGATGTCCTTGAAATTGCTACTCACAATGAATTAATTAAGGAAATATATTCTTTTCAAAGATATCTATAAGGTGCATGTTGGTACCATCATGTGAGAATTCTCTTTGACGTTTCGTCTCCAAATAATGACTTAATATGAACACTGTGGGCACACAAATATGTTGTGTATCTCCACAATGGTTTCTATACATGAAACATCTTGGTTTTTCAGGCTTGTCCATAAATAAGCCTCCTAAAGCAATTTTGACATTCCGTAACTATGAGGTATAATGCCATTTCGTATGCGTTCTTCGAATAGATGTGCCAAACTCATTTTACAGTGGATATTAGATTGTCCATTTTTTTAGTCCCGACCCGTTAAGTTTATCTAGGTTTGTGCAAAAATGGGATTATGCAGATAATATATCCAGAAGGAAAAAAAATAGAAAGGTATTACAAGCTGGTTGGAGTTTGACATTGATTGTTTTCTTTTGTAGTTTGTGCGTATTTATGAAGCTAACCGTGGAGTACATATAAGTTTCTTCGATCCAGTTAACAATACCGAAACACCACCTCCAAGTCTTTTTTCTTGGAAAGAATATGAATGGTCAAAATGTTCTCGGAATTGTGGTGGAGGTAAGATAACGCAGGAACATATTATCAATACTGTAATTGGATGTCAACATTGTCCTTGATATCAGTCATGACAGGATGTTGACCAATTCACCTGAGTCAGAGGCTTATGATACATGTACTCGACAACTAAGGCCTGATGGTTAGGTTTTGGTGAGGGAAGGAAATCAGAGAACTGGGAGAAAACCCTGGAAGCACAAGAGAGAGAGAGAGTAAGAGAAACAACCATACTCTACGTTCATGAGCTTTCGCCTGCAGTGGTATGCTGCAGGCTTAACTTAGCGGTAAGAGATAGCGCACTACTGGTATCCACATCTGCCACCCATGCATGCTCCCCATATACTGTAGCTATATCATTATGTATATCGTGAGCATAAGTTACTAATGCATGCATACTCGTGGATGATTAGGTACTTATATGCAGACGTGGGTGGCGTGTAGTTTAGGGATTTGAGTTCGTTGGATTGAGGTCTGAATCACGTATTAAGCACATACAGCCATCCTCAAACGTCGCTACATGAGTGTCATGGCGCTGCAGAAAACCTCGGATGTAGCTTGCTAGAAACTGACTACTTTACCAGTTGGCTGTACGTTGTAGATAGAAAAAAGAGTGCTGTTGCAACGAACGCCATCCAGTTTAATATTTGCAACACAAATATACTATATATTCTTCATTATTATATTCCTCATTTGAATGTAAAACTATTTATAATAACTGCTTTTAAAAATAACCTACATCTAGTATTTGAAATTGCAAATAATTACTTAAATACTTTACTTTAACGGGTAAAGTAAACTTCAAGAATCAGTTAAGGTGACGCCCATACAGTGAATAATAATTTTTTATTTTATTTTATATTTAAACATATTTATTATACATTGTAATTGGTAAAAGCAATTTGATTGGCTAAGAGCTTACAGTTAAATCGCGCAATCACGCAACCTACACAAAATTGAGTTATCTGCTAGCAGATAACTCAGTTATCTGCTAGCAGATAACTGAATTTTGTGTAGGTTGAAGTCAAATGAGTGCACATTTCAATTTTCAAATGAATGTACATTTCATAATTGTAATGTTTACTTTAACAAGTAAATATTTTAATACGTTAACATCTTAACGACAATATGTTTCTTTTATATTTGTAATTAATTTAACTGTTGGACTTCCGGAGACTTGTTTATAGAAACGTTTTACTTGAACAGCTTTGCCAGAAATCATATTGAATCATATAGTATTAAAATACTATGTTTATTATTCTTCAAATGTATAATAAAACAATTATTGAATTCGGTTTTTGCGATATGCAAAATTATCAAGGTCTCGGTAAGCGTTATCAGCCTCGCCTTCGGCTCGGCTGATAACGCTTACCTCGACCTTGATAATTCCGCATATCACAAAAACCTCATCCAATAATTGTTAATTATGCGTTTGCCCCAAGAGCGACTATAAGCTCGTGTCGGACAGTTTGTACGTAAACGTCGAGCCGACTTTACTTAAAAGTATTAAAGGGAAGAGCAGTGCGCATTAAATTGGTGGAAATAGGAAGAAATATGCATGGTACGTTTTCAAAATGTGTTAATGTATGTTTTGAAAATTTTGGTTACCGTGCCCCCCCCCCCCCCCCCCCCCCTCCGAATTTTACGAAGCAAATTTTCGACCACACCTCTAATTTCGTTCCTCCCGTACGTCTGTGTGATCATAAATAATATGCTTCATATTCTTTTTTCAGGATTCAGGAAAAGGAAAGTAAAATGCTATCGTAAGGATGATATGAGTATTGTCGGAAAAAGGTTTTGTAGTTCAACGTTAAAACCAAATGAGAAAAAATTCTGTTATACTTCATGTCCTGCTGAGTAAGTATTGCGCATGCATGAATCTATCTGAAGTGTTGTTTTGCCCACTAGCAATTGACTTTATAATGCAGTATAGTTAAGGTTCGAATTAATTTTAATTATTTGAAAAAGCCTAGAATATCTCAAGGTATATAATTGTGTACGTGCATGTATGTGGTCCGTAAAATATATACGATAGATGTCCTGCCGGACCTGCCCGCTGTAAAAATCGTCATCTTTAGTGTAGATAGCAATTTCGCCAATTTGCAATATTCACGAGCTTAGATCCTTTAACCAAACTCGTTATTAACTTTAAAGACTGTACAACATTACTGTTCCATAATCAATTTCTTCAGATTCGCTGCACTTGAAATTCGAATTCCAAGCTCGCGTCAAAATTGAACCTCTCATTTCTAAACTTTCATTTCATTTCATTTTTAATATGAGATGTATGATTCATTCGCAGTACTTGGTCAGAGAAATTATTTCTCTCTTTAGGTGGTTTATAACACATTGGAAGCCATGTTCTAAAAGATGTGGACGCGGAATCCAAACAAGAAAGATCATTTGTAGAAGAAAGAAAATGGATTCTTGGATTGTCGAAGATGATTCGGCATGTGTTAAACAAAGACCTGTTGTGCCAGTTCTTGCGCGTCATTGTAATGAAATTATGTGTCCACCTGAGTATATACCACTAGCTTGGTCTGAGGTATATTTCATTGTCTTTCATTCGCTGGTATTTGCTGGTTAGGTGAACTGTATTTACTTTTGACCAATCATAAAATGTAACCTAAGAAATCACGTATCCACCTGCAGAGTATTTACCACTAGTTTGGTCTGAGGTGTCTTTCATTAATTGGTGGATTTTAGTAACCGTTACAAGGGGGTGGGGGGTTGTGAGGACTTTTGAATGTTGACTTCTTTCGCATGCAATCTTGAGGCATTGATCTTATAGTAGTTTTCTCAGGTATTTTCATTTTTCAATCCGATTTCGTTTTTTAAGAGTTAAAACCATTTTACAAAATCCGAAGATTTGACCATTTCACAGTTTGACTTTTTTACAAGATGTGCTCAACATGTGTAGTTCAAACATTCATTCAACCTCACTGCAAAATTTCTGATAAGTGATATCGATTTGCACAATTATGCCTTACAGGTCTTTAAGAATGCTGTTGGGTGTAGCAACGTAGAGATAAACAAAAGATCAACCAAAAGATCCAAATGATTCAGATCAGGGGATAGAGATGTCCATGTGTTTCCCACTTTCAAGAGTTTAGTCTGGCCCTATACCAAATTTCTATGCCGACAGTTCCTAGTGTTAAGATTGCTCTATATGATGTCGCTACATCATTATTTTCTCACTTTGATAACTGCTGGCTGATCACCACCTGCTGTACCATTATAGTGCTTATTAAGGTAAAACATGTCCAGCACAAAGGCACAAAGCTATATGATTAGGGAATAAAAAAGTGCAGCATATATAAGCCTTATAAAGAATAAGACAAGGCGAAGAAAATGATTTTTTCTGCTATATCTTTGCAAACTTTAGAGTGAATGTTTTCCTTTATTTCTTTTGTATAACTGTAAATTTCAAGGAGTTGAATCAACTCCAAAAGTGTTATTTTGTCGGTATTAAATTAAAATCTGATGTGAAACAAGCCTTAATATACAGGTACTATACCATTAAAACGATTATAATGTTTTCTCAACCAGTGTTCGACATCATGTGATGAAGGTGTGTCCACCAGAAAACTGAAGTGCCAAATCGTCAATAAGAAAGGAATTAGTAAATATGTCCCAATGAGAGTTTGTGAACAAAATGGCTCACCAGAACCACAAACCACACGAAGATGTAATCATGATATACCATGTAAAGGTAGGCTTTTTGTAGATAATCAGATGAGAGAATTACGAACAAAGCAACCGTCGAAGATGACGGCATCATTTTATCAATTCCATGAAATTCATGACATTGCGCAAGTTAATAACGTCTTGTATACCATATTATAACATTTCAAGCCGAAAACGTAGTCTTGATTAGAACTACTAGTAAATGGTTAATATAAATAAAAGTAATTTATAATAGTTTTGTTTGTGGAAACACCACGTAAATTTATTACTGCAGTAATAAATTTACGTGGTCAGTTTCCACAAACAAAACTATTATATGTTTTATCGCCATGCAAACATACAAAGAACTTGTTAAAAGTAATTTAGTTAAATCGTTAATCTCGAACGATCAGTGTCAGTTAAATGGTTAGGAAAAGCAACGGTTAGTTGTGTTTGAAAGCCTCGAATTCGTCCTGTTTCAGTTATGCTTCGTCACGTGTGCTAGAGAGGCCAAAACATGCAAATGTGAGTACGGTTCGAATTCTTTCGCGCACAATCGGCGCAAACAGACCGTTAACATGTTTATTTGGCTTTTGGCCCCTTCATGTTTATACTCCAAAACCTGTACTGCATGGTGCACCTTTTCCACAATCCTTATCATTCTTTTTATCCACACATTAGACAAAGCTTTGAATTATGTTTGGATTGGATGTTTTCTTGACTCAAAATACCCAACATCACGACTTCTACCTGTAGTACTTGAAAATCTTCGTCGAAAGATTGACTGGTACAATCCCTCAGCAACAATCGATGAATGTGCGATACTTGCATCAAAGAAAGGAAAAGAATATTTTGCTATCCAGTATTATGGTGAATGTCGCACGTATAAAGATGGAAATCGTCTAGACTACACCACGCTTGGTATTTCGCACAATTTTTGGGCCGGTTTAGGAGGTTCTTGGACAAACTGTGTTTACAAGTTTCAGTAATCGTTTCAGCCATGTACCATGCACTACTGCACCACTGATGAATATAAAAATGGCACTTAAGACAACATAACTATGATCACAAGATATGATGACATCACGACAAATAAGTTAAAATAGAGCAATTGCTGATCATGAAATCAAACAAGCTTTTTTTCATAAATACTTAGGTGTTCAAAGAGTCAATAAAATGCAAATAAGATCATTTTTGTGCTAATAATGAGAAGAAAACTCATGTCTTCTTTCTCCCGATTCGCCTTTCTAACACTATTGTGGTTCAGCATTCCGGTGTAGAGAAATGAGCCTGGGAACGAGGTTGTATGCTCATGCAGTACGTATAGCGCATGAATAATTACCAATAATAAAGTTGCTTCATTACAGCGGCAAACCTGCTACTTTAATTTCATATCAAGGCACAGCGAATCATATGAGTAAGACGAACGAGTTAGTAAAAAATACATGGCTCCAGCAAGGGTTCTTGAAAGTGAAAGAAAGGGCTGGTGCAGGCAACTTATCTACCATCGGTTGACCTTGTAAAATCTCTATTTATAGCTTAGGAGGCATGATCTGTATTTGATTTGCACGACAATTGTAAGGTATTACGAACAACAAAATCGCAGTAACTTCCAACAAAGTCTGATTTCAAAAAATGATAGTTGAAGGTCTCTCTAGTCGAATTCGCTTCATTTTTATTAGGGTCTATCCAGTCTGTATGAGATCAGTTTCACTTTTAATTTGGTCCAGTTTATTATGAGATCATTTCATGGCTTGAAACCATTGGTATCAATCAGACTGCATAGACCATATAAAAAATGAAGCCAGTTCGATCGAGACTTGGACTTGGAGCAAGCCTATAATACTCGAGACAAGTCAGACAACATTAGCCAATATTCCAATACACCGCTATTGAGCCTCGTTTCCGTATTTGAGACATTGGCTTAATTAAGAGCCCTTCATCTTCTTACTGATTACAAAATTATAAACAGGTCTTTTATATTCACACACCTGTAGCAACATAAAGCGCTCTAAATCTAGTATCTCAATCACGAAAACGAGGCTATATAGCCAATACGAAGCACTTTCTGGAAGGGTGTATTAACATGCATTCAAATCAGATTTTCAATTGAAAGTTTGAGCAATTTCGTTAAACTGAGGTTGTAACCCGCATGAATGACGTCAGTTGACGGACTGTGTTTGTTACCGGTTTTAACATGCTACTGTTAACTTTTGGAATGTCACGGAAATGTTACAACTATGTGTCTCTAGGGTGTCTCTGAGCCTGTGTACAGCCACGTAACTCTCGATCTATATATCTACATTCCTTGAGCTTTACTTTTTACGGCGGCTTTTACAACATGCACCGGTAATGAATGTAGACTACGTCACTAAAACATGTAGATTTCTCAATTGACTTCCTCCAAACAGGTAGCTTATCAAGTTCTAATACAAAGACAAATTTCCGACTGACCGACACCCTCAGTGACAATGTGCAACGTACAAGCTTTTAAATAATCCAAATTTATTTATGTACTTTTCAGGATAGCGAATTTTAGACTGGCTTTTTAGGCAATTTTCAAATACGTTGAAATAACGGGGGTAGTTATTTATTCCGGTATGTTGCATACCAATGACTGCATATATCCTGCATATCAAACACTTCCGTTGCTAGGTGCATGATATGTTTATTTTCAGCAACATGGTAACGAATATATGCATAGGTAAGTACATTGGAGAATGTGATAGTCTATTCAAGGTCAACAACAGTTACATAACTGACATGAAAACAAAAAACGCAAATTCATGGTGAAATCAACATGATTCAGATATGACTTGCAAAAGTTTTTATGCTGACTTTTTATGTTTTTTCAATTATATTGATCTAATTATATTTTTTCACAAATTACATTTTTTCAAGTGCACACTATATATTGAGCAACATCCTCGAAACTTAGTGAAAAAAGTTGGTTAGAAGCTTATACTCTCCACCACCAGCTGATTTCATATACTTTCTCACTTCTATGGTATTGGTTCTCGTCCCTCTCCCATCGTTATTGGGACGACTCCACTGACACCTATCGTTGTGCTGGCTGGCCAACAATTTTCCGCATGCAGTTATACCCGCGTGGCTGTCAGGACGATCAGTTCTAAAATATCAACTGATCTTGGTGGGGAATACTGAAACTGCATGGCAAAATATCAAATATTATAGTATTCATTCTTAGTACAACCATGGATAATAAAATAAATGTTATTTTACAATCCATGGTACAACGTAATTTAAGGACCTGCAGTTTAAACAATTTCCAAACTGTTGTGCAATGCGTGTGTGAGTCAAGTGTGTTGAGTGGATTGCACTTAGTGCCTTCTGGTTGTGTATACGTACCAGAAATAGTTATCTTTCATTCATTTGTTTGATACTAAGTGACTCAGCAATACTGAATAATGTATGTAACCACTTACGCACACTAAAATGAATTGCTTCCTGCACGAGTCACGATATATCGTGGGGATATGGCAGGTATATAAGAAGTACGAGCATCATTGAAACCAATTATAGTTGGAGTTCACATTGCAAACGACTTCGCTAAATCTTCCACTTCTTTGTCGGATTCAGTCGATTATTTAGATATTCTGCCAAAATGCCTGAGTACAAACTGACGTATTTTAACGTTCGTGCACGCGGTGAACCAGTTCGAACAATGTTGAAGTTAGCCGGTGTTGAATATGAGGAAAGAACTCTTAGTTTTGGAGAGGAGTGGGAAAATGTAAAATCAGGTATACGCTTTGAATTTGTTGTTTGGAAATAGTCGTTATTAATGTAGAGAGTCTAAGTCTTTTTCGGGATATCTTTTCAAAAGTTGTCTAGACCTCATATACTATATAATATACATATATATATATAGCCTATAGGACTGGTAATCCTCTCCGTATAATCACAGTTGATAGCGACCAGATGCAGGACGGGAACGTGACGACGACGGCAAAGAAACTCATTTAACCAAATAATTCGTCTATTATCGTATGAAATTGAGGTTAAATCGACGTCACGAAAACTTCCGCGAGAACTTAGGGACCGTTCATTATTTATACCTGGGGTTGGTACCGAAGAGAAGCGAAAAACACTGTAATTTTTTTATTTACCCAACCTCAACATTGGTCAAAATAATGTTTACCCAACCCATGTGTTACTGTACTTAATAATTAAACACACAAGATTATTTGGTGACAGAAATCAAGATGCCTAAATTTTAAAAGCTCACTCAGACTCAAACTCACTGAGTGTGCCAATGGAACCACGTTCCTGCTGATCAATAATAGAGTCCTTCCTCAATCACTGATAGTCTACTTTGGTACAGAATGTATTGTGCACATTTTTCTTCATATTTTCCAATGCATGGTAATTTCGGTTTTATTTTATAGCTGACAGACAGCCACAATTTTTTTTTACCCAACCCATGAGCTAGTCAAAAACTTGATTACCCAACCCATATCTCTTCGGTACCAACCTCGGGTGTAAATAATGAACGGTCCCTTAATTGTTCATTTCTGCTCATTTTCTTGTATTAATATGATATTATTAGCCGTCCTTATTTTTAATAACAGTAGTTCTTTATGATTTTAAAAGTGTGAAATTTAGACTGTTTCTTGTCACGTTCCCGTACCAGATTAAGTCTTGCTTATATAAGTTTAGTTTTGCCCCCCCCCCCCCCAAAAAAAAAAAATTGTGATAACATTAAATTAGTGGTAATCTTTCTCAATGGCGAGAATGAATCACTTGTGGACTGATGAGGGATTGCCCTCACTGGGACGTGAAGGAAGAACGCTTTTTAGATATAGAAGTAAAGAGTCAGTGAATGATATGTATATATAAGCAACTTTTGTAGTAATGCAATTTATATAATATGTTCTGTCTTTATTCAGATAATACAAAATATCCATTTAATCAACTGCCAGTGTTGGAGGTTGATGGAACACCAATAGCACAGTCCATGGCGATTATGAGATATTTAGGAAAAGAGCACGGTAGTTATATTTTCTTTTTCTATTCTCTCTTAGTCATCATCGGCTTTCGCGGATGTTTCGTGTGTTTGCGTTACCTTCGATGTCAGCAATAAAGAACTGCTTCTTTACGTTTTGTTATGTTTTTATACTATAGGTTATGCACCAAGCAGCAATCTGGAACAAGCTCAGGCAGATGCCATAGTAGATCAATGTCAGGATTTAATTAATCAGTTTATCTGGCTATATTTTGCTGAACAAGATCCTGAGAAAAAGGTATAAGATTATTTTAAATTGACGGATTACTATAAAACTATTTTAAGAGACTTGTTGCAATAGATTTTACAGTCCATTCCATTTTTGCCCCCAATGGCGTCGTTTCCATGTTTGGCTGTTTTGGCATGGCAGGTACGAATGTGTTTCTCTTTGATCTTAAGCCCCTGCAATTATGCAAATCATAAATCTATTGTGCACGAAACATAATATTTTTTGAATTTGAATTTATTAGATTTTGTCACACAAATCACACAATCACAGATAATTATTTACAGAGGTCAAAAAAGTATTAATTTACAAAAGGATAATAATAACAGTTTACAAAAAAAGTCAACTGCAGCGCAGTCTACAGAGTGAGCAAAAAAAAACTGACACCTTTGTTATTCAAATTAGCCGCGAAGGTATCAGTTTTTTTTTACTCATTAGTATTTAGTAACCAAAATATACTATATTATAGGAGAAACAAAGAAAGAATTGGTTTGAAAACAAATTACCTCCAGCAATGAAAAATTTTGAAGCAATTTTGAAACGTAATGGCACAGGATATTTTGTTGGAGACAAGGTATGATTGTTCTGATGCATGCTCGTTCTGTATAACGGTGTTATATACTCTGCATGCAATTTTCTGGAATTTTATCTGGAAACTATGGTGAAACAGAGGTGCTTCGTAAAGTCCATTGCAAATTATAGTCATTTCACAAAATTGCAATCGAGCCTCTCATGCATGATCAGAATGTTGTACTGATATTGCAGAAAACCTGACACACGAGTTTCGCATGCATGCATTGAATATTCCGTCTTCCACTATAATTTCATATTTTATTTCATTGCCAGATAACGTACGCTGACGTTGGATTCTTTAGTTTGTTCAATGTTTACTTGGCACTCGGGAAACCCACAGTGCCCAAGGAATTTGATGGATACCCATTAATAAGTGCTTTGTATGAGCGTATAACGAAGGAACCAAGAATCGCTGCTTACATCAAGACAAGACCAGATGCCATTATATGAAACGTTTACAAAGAGGACGGCATGAATATATCAGCTTAATTAAAATATATTTATATAATATGCGTCGATATATAGCAACTTTGATTTATCATTATTATTAATCAATAAAGAAAATATATTCAGTTAGTAGTATACGCATCCGGTTTATGTTCATTGTGTGTATCGCAGTGTTTGCATTGGAGGTTACAAACTGTTTGCAACTAGCATCGCAATAAAATCTGCGTTGCCTGTTGCAGAGAAAGACGAACCAGCTTCTTTTTTCGCAATGATGCGCTTGATACGGACACCTAACTGGACAAAGTGTCTGTATTAGAGATCGAGTTTTTCGTCTTAAAGATACCACTACGATGACGTCAAACTATCCAAGACTATCCATTAGAAATAATTTTCAGTTAGAGAAAATATACGCATGATAATTTTGTCGGTTAACTGTCTGTATGGAAAGTCCCCTCTATTAGAGAGGTGTCTGTAAGAATTCAGTTCCGAAATAAATACAGTATGATCGCAAAGCAAAGAAAAATGTGTTGCAAGTTGCAGGAAATTAGCTCCGTGTAAGAGTCGTACCATTACGAAAAGTTATGCCGGGGAGGGAATCAAGAAGGAAGGATAAAAGAAGAAAAACGTCGTGCAAAGAGAAAAGCCAAGAAAAATTTATTTATAACTTCCTGCACAAGCCTTCAGACGGCCGAAAAAATCATGCAACCGAAAATCTCCCCTCCCCCCTCATTGGGATGATCGGAAATTTTACTTTACCTACAAGGCCACTCAGTTGGGCCAATTTATATATGCACCTATATAGCATCTCTCTTCAGCGCAAAATCGAGAGACGAAAAGAGCGATGAAACGGAACGATACAAGTTCAATTAGTGCTGCACACAAACGTTCGAAGTATCAATTTCCTCAGCTGTTCAGCAGACTACCTCCCACGCGCATGTGCGTGAATGAAGTATCTTTAGGTTTGTACTTGAATACGAACACTCTTCTACTAGCAATTCTAGCATACCAGCGGTTGAATAAATAAAATTCATAACATTTTTTAACAATTATATATTTTTATTATTTTATAGTTAAGTATAAAATAGGTGATTTTGATTGGTTACAGTAACTTTCGCACTAAGTTTAACTTCAAGTTTACCTTTTTGTTCAACCGGTCCCAGAACAGAAAAAAAGATAAACGAAGACACAGTTAGAATTGGTAGTACAGGGCCGTACGAAGAAGCTCTTTTCGATTGGGAGGGCTGAAAGCGATTTTTAAATTTAGAGTCTCTGAAATGCCATTTCCAAATTATTTGGGGAGGGGGCTGCGGGGGGGGGCTGATACGCAGTTCACACTACGACCCTGTATATCAAATGACGCGATCTGTTCGGAATAAATTTGCAGTTGAATCATGACACATGTGGATGATTCAACTGTTTAATCATCCATTTGTGTTTTAATTTGTTTTTGGTGTCCCAACGTAGGACGCGCGCACCGTAGAACCCTTATTTTGTTAATCTTGAAATTTCCCCTGTCAAGTAGCTGCCAACTCTATCAGCTTTCATCAACTCTCATTCTCATTTAACCGGGACCTAGAGGTTACTTACCGTAGTTATATCGAGTGACATCGCCTGACAGTTATCTGATACTTAAAACATTCTTTTATCACCTATTAGTCACGAGTCATTGAAGTCAAGAACATAGCTCAGCCAAATATAAGATTACGGAGTATTCATTTCTTTTACTTATATAATCTCACAAGTCACAGATAGTACTCAGATTTATCGACTAACTGCTAAGTATGCCAGAATACAAGCTTCATTACTTCAGTCTTCGTGCACGCGGCGAGCCAATTAGGTTTATACTGAAGTTAGCTGGGGTTAAATATACTGAAATCACATATGATTTGGGATCTGAAGAGTGGGCCAAAGCAAAGAAAGGTACTGCCGTATATTGTGAATTATTTATATGTGAACTGCAGAATGGTGCTTGGGATAGGTAATGATAAATTAGTATACGTAGATCATCTTTCCCTTCCCATTTTGTGTGCCGTGATGTCATATTAACTATAAGGTGCAATTTAGCCAATATAGTGTGACGATACTCACACAGAGCAAATCCATTGTTGAGTACTTAATTAAGTGTCATGTAAATCTACGTTAATGGGTTATCTACCATGGAACATTTTTCATTCTTCTGGCAACAAATGCAATATTCCGGCTAGCATACAGCAATGCAGTAAAAGCTGTAAGGGTACAGGACTACAGGTATATAACATTTATCAATTATCCGCCGAAGTGCCGTATCGGGGAATATTCACCGAGACGAAGTCGAGGTGAATATTATATTCCCCGATAATCACCGAGCCTGAGGTGAATAATTGTTTTAGTATTTTACACAATTAAGTCCTTTATGCTTTTTGGGACTGAATTTATTTTAATTTCTCTTATTTCTTTGTCAGTAATTTCCGCAAACGGCTAGCCGTCATTTTGCAAATTTCGGTTTTGTTCTATTCACCTGTAGCTGTGGCGTAACTGGAGGGTGTTTGGGTGTCCAGAGGCGGGGGCCCCCACGTCCAGGGGGCACTAGGATCAGTTTTGCGATGACGAAAACCAAAATTTGCAAAATGGTGGCTAGCTGTTTTGTGGAATAAGCGAAATTAAAATAACTTTAGTCCCAAAAAACACAAAAGACTTTTGTAAAAATACTAAAACAATACAAAGCCTCAGGCCTAGGATCGGTGATTATCGGGGAATATTCACCTTGCCTTCGGCGAATAATTGTTAAACAGCCTTGTCCCTTAGCCGTTCTGCAGCTTTCACCAACGAAAAACGAACCGATAAAACTGGCTTAGGTATGACGTCAGTTAGTTGTGACGTTACCGCGCAAGGCTATGATTGTTAAATATTCACAGGATTATTGGGAAGACTTAGATTAATAATGTCCAGTCCTGCACAGTACATTGTTGAAAATCTACTAAATTGAAACTAAATATATAGTTCTTTATGATTCAAGACCGTTGGAAGTAAATCAATATTGGGG